TGCAAAAATTAGAAAACAAGATAAAAAGTATATTCTACATGCTTTTGCTTAAAAGTCGGTGTGATACGAAATAAGTATGTATATAATTTGGTGGGTGGGTGTGGATATGATATGTAATAACTAAAAAAGAACAATGCTGAAAAATCCTTTACTTTTAAATCTATATTTAAATCAGTTCATCTACTTTTAACCAGTCCATCTACTCCATCTACTTTTAAATCAGAAAAAAGAAAAAAAAGTTATCTTATACTAAAGAATAATTTAAAATTGTATTCATGTTCACTTATATATGAAATCAAATCATTTTCTAACGCCTTCTAGGGTTCTCCCCGCCTCTATATTTCAATCGGTGTATAAACTTTAAAAGCCACCAACATATAAAAGGTTCCATTTCATTGGTACAACCTGTGACATAACTCACCAGCTTTTACTTTGATATATAACTATTTCAAATATTTAACAAAATTGGCTTGGCTAAAAAAAAAAAAGAAAAAAAAAAAAAAAAAAAGAAAGAAAGAAAGAAAAAGAAAGAAAGAAAGAAAAAGAAAAATGCTTTTTGCTGATCAAACTGCACACATTTCATTTTAGTTAAATCATGCAGTTAGTCATCTGTTATTTCGACAGTTTTTTATGATTAATAATTGGAAAATTTTATTTTATTTTATTCATTAATTGGTTGATTTCTTCCACTCTTTTTTTATGAAGGTCAACGCCAAGGGAACATTGATCTCTGCCAATTATTAGTTTTCAAGTTTTTGTGCAGCTCATAAATATATGAAGATATTTGCAATGTTTGGACATGGAGGAAGAGAAGTCTCTCTTATTCCTTCCAGCGCAGTTTTGAACTAGGTGATGTAAGCGCCATTTTAGATATATACACAATAATGATTATATTTACATTATATTTACATGTAATTTTGAATATCAATAAATTATTGTTAAAATATTTCAATACAAAGTACCAAGAATATCTAGAACGGAGAAATTAGTATTTCTCGTTTCTCGTGAAAAAAAAAAAAAAAAAAAAAAAAAAATTGGATTTATTAGATTATAGCAGAATACATTAGGGCTATCTGCTTTAAGAAAAAGATGCCTTCGTGAAGGACGTTTCAAGCGAAACTGGATCATTTTCAAGTTAAACATGGAAGAAGTATAAAAACAACTAACTTGTCCGTTGAATCTTGTGTCGAACTACTACTATTGTTCAATGTTCTTATCTGTTTCGGCACAAATGAGCCTTGTGTAAGTAACAGAAATATTATTGAAATTAATAACTTTAACTGAAATTAATCATTCTGAAATACAGAATACAATGATAGTAGCACAGCTAAGTGTTTTTCTAATGTGCTGTGTCCTTCATTTAAACCTTTCCCTCAGAAATGGTGCACACCGTGTAATTTTCCCCTTTCAATTTTCAGAAGGTAAAATTAGTAAAAAAATGGGTGGGGGTAAAAGCGCAATTAAATATACCGTATATACCCGCGTATAAGTCGAGATATTTTGGACAAAAAAAAAAGACTTCAAAGTGGGGGGGAGGTCGACTTATACGCGGGGCCATAAAAAATTAAAAGAATCGGAAGTTCAAAAATTTCTTTGTATAATGCAGCTGTTTTCTTCCCGCACTCGAATTGGACGACTTATCAAATAAGCCTCTTACTTGAAGTAATTTCATGACTTAAGTTATATGACGAACTACAGTGGTGGCCAAAACTGTGGACACTTTTGGAAATTTTTATGTTTTTGCCCCTGAAAAATGCGAATGCCTGCGAAATACCCTCTGAATGATTATAAAATCATTTAAAAAATGTTGTATTAGCAGTGAAGTAGACGGCACGGAAGATGATGCTGTTTTTTTGAAAGTGAAAATGACGACGAAGGCTGTAGTAGTGATTGTAACAATACAGAGTTCGAGACTGAAAATATGTATGATGACGAGCCAATGACGACAGAAGAGTTCTATGAAATGTTTGGCGAATCTGACCATGAATCAGACGTTGAAGGATTTTGATTTTGTTTATTTACCAAGGTATTTTTTATCGTATACTTACTTTTTTTTCTCAGATGATTTTGAATAAATGTAGTACTTAAAATTTTTTTTTCGAAGTTTTTACGAATTTTTTATGTCGAAGTGGGGGGGGGTCGACTTATACGCGGTATCGACTTATACGCGAGTATATACGGTAATAGTTTGCTTCAATAAATTGTGAAAAAAATCTACTTCAGACAGAAATATAGCTTATTGCCATTTCTTCAATAACTAGTAGATGATTAAACAAATGTCTACGAACCAAATTGTAAAGAAACACGCTAATACAAAACTTAAAATTAGGCAAAATTGCAATCTTATTTTGGGGGTAAATTTTGAATGAAACTCTATCGACTTCGAGGGTGACAGTTCAGTTCTCTGTTTTTCAGGAGCAAAAATTAAAATTATGAAAATAATAATTTTAAAAAATCTGCGCGAACCCTATGTAGAATTTTTCCTCCGTCCTGAAGAAGACCTGTGTTTGATTGCCCTCGAAATTAATAATTTCATTCAAAATCTACGCTGCTTTGTTTAATTTGAAGTGTCTACGAGATTTATACTTAAAAGGAACGACAGTATACAGGAGATATTATATTTAAATGCAAAAAATACCATAATTAAGGTGTGTTAAATAACAATAGCATTTAAAAAAATTTCTCTCAGAATGACCAATTAGAATAGTTAATTAGCTTTCAAGCAAAATATTACTTCATGTAATTTAGTGTAACAAAGCTTTCTTTCAGATCTAATTTTAAAAAGTAATGAAAAACAAACAAGGTGTGTCATTAACAATGAATTCTTTGTGTAAACGCAATACCAGTCAGTTTCCCTTAGAAGTTCCTCCACGAACATTCCACCCCACAGGCCTCACATGATTTGGCATAATGGACAAAGCAAATAAGCAAACACTGAATTCCTGAAATTCTTCCACTAAAATCTTTTTTTTTTTTTTTTAATATTTTCTTTGCAATAAATATTTTCAAAATTAACACTTTAACTTGTATGGTCTGAAGTAGAGGTAGAATGGTGTTTTACAAATGAATTCATTTCACTAAATTATGAAGTGTAACATTTTTCATTCTTTACAAGAGACCAAAGCGGAATGTTAAAAAGCCGAAAATGCAGTAAATTTTCCCTAAAACGTTAACAGAGAAATCAAATTGATTAATCTGCAGTCTGAGACCCGTTGTTATCATATGACAGGAGGTTAACATTCAAGGCAAAGCAGCCATATTTTCCGCATGAAAATTTTTTAATTGAAATAAAAAATTTTGAAATCTTTATTTTTCTTAAATTCGTAAATTTTAACTAAAATACATAAAAAAGGCCTGTTATTATTAATTATGAAATAGAAAGAGCATGTTTATTCAAACACAAAACATAGCGAAAATATTTTTCACATTTGTCTTCTTTTGCTCTGAAATTCTATATTCTTCTCCGTTCCTCCCGATTATTTTAAATATCCTCAAAATGTTTTCTACTAAACATTTCAATAAAATCAAAAATTTCGATTTCCCGTCATTTTCTAATTAAAAGAAGAGAGACAGCTGAAATATCAAATTCATAAATGAATTTGATATTTCCGCAAGATTTCATTTATAAGAAAATTATAAAATGGTAGGTGTACTTTATATTTTGCTATCGAGAATAAAATCTTAAATATCAGCGAAAGTATTTTCACATGTAAATTTTTTTAACCTGTACCACAACATTTCACACGTTTTCCTTGAAGAAGAGGGACTTGCGTCTGTTCACGCTCGAAATCCCTTAAGTTTTAATTAAAATCGACGCCAAACTTAGGTTGCTTTTTTGCCTAATTTTAAAAGCAGCACAAATATTCAAAAAGAAAGGAAACCGAACAGTCTTTTCACTTCTCTCTTTAATTTCTTTGAAAAACGTGTTCTATTAATAAAAAACTTCTAGAAAAAAAAAAAAAAAAGTATCTGTGCTTTGTACTAGGTTATCAAGTGCAAAATCTTAAATGATGTAGACAGCGTACGCAAATGTAAAAGATAAATGTAAGACAACTATGTTGACTTGAGTTAGTTTGCTTTAATATTAAACAAAATTTAAATTTAGTTAGTTTTAAGCGAAAGGATTTTATTACAGATAATGAGACAAGGTTCCTCTTATACTTTAGATGAATGTTTCTTGGAAGAGCCCTTTTAACTTGAAATCGATTCAAATGAGAATTTTGCCAAATTAAAATACTATCCTAAATTAATTCATTTGTTAAATAATAAAATTAAATAAAGGGGGCATATTGATAATGAATTAAATTTATAATTGGTTAAAAATCTCATTAAACTGCGTGGAATTCTTTTCTGTTTGTATATTAACATTTGCCTTAATCTGTATTAGAATCGTGAACGTTTAGTTATCAATAATACAACTAGATGGCAGCACATGATGTTACATATGATATAAAAGAATTAGGTAGGAATAGTGTTTATTTTTAATGCTAAATTCAGCACTTTTTTTATAGCATTTAACAGACAAATTATATTAATTTGTAACACTTAATATTTTCTATGGTTACATAGATTTCAATCCTTATCAGTGCAATGTCTTGTTTTCCTTTTTTGTTTAAGCACACTTAAGAAACTGGCAACACCGCTAATTTTCCACAAAACAATGATCCGCAGTGTATCTGGCAACCATTTATACTGAGCCAAATTTGGCATCATTTTCATTAGTCCAAGAACTTTTATAATGGGAGAAAAAGCAAAGTTTCGACGACTGTCAAGACAATCCAGTGACAAATCATAACACAGAGAAGACTTGCTAGTCACAATGCATCAGATTACTTTCTGACGTAAATGCAACTGCTCCACTTCCTAATATTGTAAATACTGAGAGTGGTATATCCCTTCTAAATTTAAAATTACAAAATACTATTGATTCTTCATGTACAGAATATCTACCCAAGGACACAAATGTACTGCCTGATTATATCCAAGACAAAGTCAAGGATGCCTTCGTGGTGTAACGGCAGCACACTCGGCTTGTATTCGAGTGGGCCAGGTTCGAGTCCCGGCGAAGGCATTGCTAATTTAGGGTTGTAACGTAGCAGGCCTCCTCATGGTGCACCCTGAGATATGCTAAATCCGCTACAGCTTTCGCCGAATTCTCTAAAAATGGCTAATTTATGCAGTGCTAATGCAAATTTGCTATTCCATTCAGCTAAATTGGAAATAGCTAAGATTTCCAGGTGTTTTCTTCATAATACAGCTTTGCATCTTTCGAATGGCCAGACTTTGAAATGTACTTTTTCTAGACCACAACCTGTTGCTGACTCACCTCGTGGGGCTGCAACTTTTAGCAGTGTCTTTTTAGTTTTTAGCAACATCTTTTTCGTTTTAACATTGTGGACTCTCCTACGTGTTTTCTTTATATGACTGGGAAAGATATGACTGAGTTACATTTGGGCGAGAGCCCTGTACTATCTTTTTTTTTTTTTTTTTTTTTTTTTTGTTTTTGTCGTGTGGCGAGATATTAGAGAGCCCGCTGCCTAATCTCCTAGTGGCCAAACGACAGGCATTTGATAAATAAAATATAAAAATAGATTAAGCAAATGGTGGTAACTCAGTATCGATCCTGATACAAAAAGGCTTCTAAACTTTAAAGCCAAGGAAATATCTAAACTTGTTTCTGAATTTTGTGTCGAAAGATGAGATGAATTACTCGAAAATGTTGAAGCTGAAGATTTATAGAAAAGTGCAAGAGGTTTAAAATCGAAGCAACTGAAAGTCGGCTCTCTCAAACATCAAGGCGTCACCTATTATTTTCAGCTACAGATGGCCAATCTTATAGGGGAAAGCATACAAGATTCTTTCACAGGAAATGCCCTTGCCTAGTCCAAAACAAAAGATAAAGTCGAGCGTACTCTTCAAAGTTTCCAAGAAGTACATACATAGTAATGATTTTAAATCCTCCAGTTGCTTTTGGAGAGGTGATATATCTCATCAAAATACTTGATATCAAGAAAGCTAAAATATTTTAATACCATCTCTAACAAGGTTATCAAAGAAACACCGAGAAAAGTCAGCATTTTAATAATAAATATTTTTTACGCATGCCTATGATCTCACTATTTTCCACAGCAGTGGAAACATGCTGTCGTCTTAAATTTTCCTAAACCAGGGAACTGCCCAAAGAATCCCAATAATTACAAACCTATCAATCTTCTCCACTTTTAAGGAAGCTCTTTGAAACAATAAATCCAATGAAGGCTCATTGCACATACTGAGAAATATGATCTCATCAGCAAAACCCAATTTGGGTTCCACAAACAACACTGTATCGAAGCAACTGAATATCGGCTCTCTCAAACACTAAGGCATCACCTAATATTCTGAACTACAGATGGTCAACATCATGGGGGAGACCATACAAGATTCTTTCACGGGTCAGACTTTTACGCTTCTTGTTGGTAGCACTTATCGTGTACCTTCAGTTGTATTACTGTATTACATTTTATTTATAATACTTTTCTTATAACTTTAAAGCCAAGGAAATATCTAAACTTGTTTCTGATTTTTGTGTCGAAAGATGAGATGAATTACTCGAAAATTCTGAAACTTACTGAAGTTAAAAAGTAGCAAAGCTAAGGAACGTAAATGTGACGTATTTCTTAACAACTTCTTGTAATCCCTCTTTAATAATGGTTTCAAATTTCAGCAGAGTAATGAAAATTGAAATAAATTATGAAAATTATTTTGTTTATTAAATGACCAGATAAACTATTTACTTGCTTATAAATCATTGAAACTAATATAAGCATTTGCTGACTTCAGTTAACTACAGAAGTATTATGACGGTTTATCTCTGGATATTAGCACCACATTAACTCAAATTCCAACTATAGCATAAAGTGTAGTAAGAAAATTTTTGAGGCCATAAATGAAACAAATACAGAAGAAATGAACTCAGACCATTATCACTCTGAGTAAATAAAAGGGCAGTTAGAAAATTTATCATGATTCTGACGCAGTATTGTTGAAGAGAAAGTGGGCAGTGTTAAGCAAGATAGTTTTCCCAAGAGAAATATTAATAGTGTTCCCCCCTTTATCTTAACACCTAAAGCACACGCTTAAGTCCTCACATGGAGATAGGACTGCTATTTAAATTAAACATTCAAAAGAAAAAAAACTTTATAAATTTCACCTTATTCATTATTAATATATTTTTAAGTTTCATTACTAAATGTGCTACATCCTGCCAAATGGACTGGCTGCATGGTAGTTTCCATGGTTTTCTCCATCGATATAAAGGTATAGCTCTCTGTGAAGGCATTCTGCTCAGCAGATAGCCACAGTACTAATAACCCGATCCAATCCATGCTTCTACATCAATTTGCGTTGTTATCATTTCAAGTGAACTGAGAGAGATTTTTGTACAGTTTCTTTTTATCATTAATAAGTGAAAGACATTAATAATTAATAAAAAACATTATCTTATTTATTAATTTAAGGAATCAAATGTATTATCTCAATTCGTTATTAGGCTACTTTGCTGATTAAAAATAATCATAAAATAATCTTTAAAAATAAAGAAGTTTGTATTTACATTAAATATGTCATTTTGTCTTGGCAAGTTAACCTTCAGTTTTGAATGGAATTTTTAAAATTACTTCTTAATTTATTTTTATTTTTATACACAGTTTTTATGTTTATTATTATTATTGTTATCGATGGGTTGATTGTTGTATCAAGTGCTGGGGGAGACAAAGATATACTGAAGAAATCAGCTGATATTTTGTACAAAACAAGCCGTCTCTGTTCTCCCATTTTGATGATTATGAATACTGAACAACAAAGATAGAGTTTCCCTATTCTTCAGCTAAACGAAATAAAATTTGACAAAACAGGTATGCATTACATTCATGTTCCAAAAATTCAGAAAGTTAAATAAGCCTGCGTTTCATTATGCTACAAGTTTTAACATTTTATTATTCCTAGTACGTGATTAACCCACATTATATATTTCTATTCTAAACAATGCTTTAAATTTTTGCATTACTTTTCATACTTTCAATATGTTTGTTAAATTTTTTAATATCTTTATGAAGGAGAAGTTATTTTAAATTAAAGGTTTATACATTAAAAAAACTAAGTTTGTATCATTTGCTCCTTTGTATTATTTTAAAGTCCCAACAGTTGTTTAATCTAGCATTTATAATGTGCAGTATTATTGCAATATGAGATACCAATATTAATAATTCAGTGATGTATTCCGTAATAAATGTAACATTGTTCAGTAAATAAATGATTAATTAATAGAGTAAAACTGTAAAATAAATAATTCATAATGATGCTCTTTCGTAATTATTATGCAAATCGTCCTAAGTATATGATTTTTCTCTCTTCCAGCTGATGAAATACGCAGAAGGATCAGACTATAGTAAACTTGAAGGAGCCATCTACTAAGCTGTGCAGCAAGCGTCATTTCAGTGTCATTAAGCTGTGAACAGCCCAAGCTGACCATCTTCAGGACAAGTGGCTGAACCAAGCAAATCAACTGGCATTCCAATTGGCAAAAGCAGCAGACTAGTAAATGTGAAGGAGTTGTCTGCTAAGTTGTGCAAGAAGCGTTATTCTAGTGTCATTAATCTGTGAACAGCTAAGCTGATCATCTTCAGGGCAAGTGGCTGAACCAAGTAAATCAAGTGACATTCCAAAAAGGTATATCACTCGAAACCAAAATTTAACCCCTAAATCTATCAAACTCAGGCAATTAGGTCAAAAACTGTCACATTTCAAAACTAAATATGGCACAAACAAAAATTTAATGAAGCTGGAGTTGAGAAGATACTCCAGCTGATTCAATCATGCTCACCCAATGATTTTTACCTTTATACGATCACACCAACTGTTTCAAATGATCAGTGAATGTGGTCTATCTTCTTAAATGACTCGACAGCCCTGGACGGACCCTGGCCTTCTCCAGAAGTCTTGGATGTGGCCTACAGAGAACAAAAATCTATATCTTCAAATCTACCTATGCAGTCCATAAGTATATAATACTCTTAAGGCATTTTTTTTCCTTGCACTTACCTAGTTAGCCTACATTATCTATTTCTAGTACAAAATTTCAACATGGATTTTTTAGTCGCTGTGCTTAGTGCCATATAGTTGCCAGTAAATTGAAAAGTTAAGTCAAGTATTGCATCATATCTTGCAGTGAAATAATTTCAAAGCAAAGCTTGTTATATGATAAGCAAAATTATTACATCATTGAATAAGAAGACTAGTTTCTAAAGTAAAACAACTATAATTTTCCAGTATGCAACTCATGCTATTGTTTTTAGGATGTGTGGGCTTTGTAAGAAATGGAAACAGGTTATGGGTTATTTTTCTTTTTTTCACACTCTACTCCTGGTGTTACATTGTAAACTTTGGTCGTGGAAGCCCTTTACAAATTATTTAATTGTGGTTTGACTCCTGCGGTATTTGTATGGGATTGAAGAGCAAACAATATGATGTGCTACAAAAAAAAAAAAAAAAAAAATGCTGTGAAATTCATAGAGGCAAGAACATATATTGAATGTCAAAAGTTATTCACACGTTTTGATGCGCCTCGCTTTTTAAAATGCTTATAAAATAATTTTGTTAAGTATGGTATTTAATTTCAGTGTGAGAGAATTGCCAGTTGAAAACACATCAAATTCATGTGGGATTTGTTCATAAAATGCCTAATAGGTGTGCTCCAAAGTTAATGAACCAGCATGTAAATGTTGACTGCGTTGATGCTGTGTGTGTAAATTAGCAGCTAATGCCTTCAGACATTCTGTGTGGCACAAGGTCGTTTGGCTGCATCAGCTAGTCATACATACTGATTTCTTTTCAAATATAAATGACGCGTTTGATAGTCTGAACAGTTGCACAGCAAAAACACACTGTTCTTTTTGTTTCAGAGGTTACAAAAGCATCAATCCATATGAGGACCTGGAAGGAAATGGTGGAAATAATCAAATTCCGAACTGAAAGGAAATTATCTTTTCTAAATCGGTTTGGATGGATATTGACTCTGCACATGATTTTCAG